CCTCACTGTTTAAAGGTTTGACCATATGGGAGTTTGATACGATCCTAACTGTTTAAAGGTTTGATCGTTCAATTTGAGTGGACCTCTCGTTCATGGAAGGAATCGAGAGGGGATTTTGGATTTGGTCCCAACTGTTTAAAGGTTTGACCAAAATGGGAATTTAAGACGATCCTAACTGTTTAAAGGTTTGATCGTTCAATTTGAGTGGACCTCTCGTTCATGGAAGGAATCGAGAGGGGATTTTGGCTTTGGTCCTAACTATTTAAAGGTTTGACCAAAATATGAGATGGAAGGAATCGAGAGGGGATTTCGACTTTGGTCCTAACTGTTTAAAGGTTTGACCAAATGGGAGTTTGATACGATCCTAACTGTTTAAAGGTTTGACCGTTCAATTTGTGAACTCTCGTTCATTGAAGGAATCGAGAGGAGATTTTGGCTTTGGTCGTAACTGTTTAAAGGTTTGACCAGATGGGAATTTAAGACGATCCTAACTGTTTAAAGGTTTGACCGTTCAATTTGTGGACCTCTCGTTCATGGAAGGAATCGAGAGGGGATTTCGACTTTGGTCCTAACTGTTTAAAGGTTTGACCAAATGAGAGTTTGATACGATCCTAACTGTTTAAAGGTTTGACCGTTCAATTTGTGAACTCTCGTTCATTGGAAGGAATCGAGAGGGGATTTCGACTTTGGTCCTAACTGTTTAAAGGTTTGACCAAATGAGAGTTTGATACGATCCTAACTGTTTAAAGGTTTGATCGTTCAATTTGAGTGGACCTCTCGTTCGAGATTTTGGTTATGGTCCTAACTGTAGTAAGGTTTGACCAAGTGAGAGTTTTGAGACGATCCTAACTGTTTAAAGGTTTGATCGTTCAATTTGTGGACCTCTCGTTCATGGAAGGAATCGAGAGGGGATTTTGGCTTTGGTCCTAACTGTTTAAAGGTTTGACCAAAATGGGAATTTGAGAGTGAAGATTGATCTAAAGAAGTGATCGAATCTCATCTCAGCAAAAGAGTATTCGGAGATCGCCGTGGGGATGTAGTGTTTATCACTTTGTTTGTAATGATCGGGTTATCCCTAAGAAAATTACATATAGCATTCTTCCGATAACTTCCCGTTACATGAACCATCCACCCCCATCTTCCTTCGCGAAACTGGGTGTAACATTATACTGAGTTACATGACCGGGTTATCCTTAAGAATATTACATGTAAAAATTCTCCAGGAACTTCCCGTCAAGAGTGGGAAACAATTTAGACTCATATACCTATTGGAGTATCGAGGAGCAGTTTATACTCGTATACTCTTTGGAGTGAGGGAAAATAGTTTATACTCGTGCACCCAATGGAGTTAAGTCGTCTTTACTTGGCTTGTGCTGGAGCTTCATCATTTTCGAAAGAATACTCCTTTTGAAACTTCGGATCGAGAGTCGCGTTCCCAGCGATTGTAGATGTCGTCGGTCAGTTTCTCTCAGCTTTCTTTCTTTTAAGAAAGTGTTCAGCTTGTTCACCGCGCATTTTTAAATCTTTCCAAGGATGGTACGACCCCCAGGGCTTCCAGGACATCGATGGAGAGATTATTGTGGCATGTTTGCAGGATAAACTCCTCTGTAATAGGATCTCTGCAATTCATTGCTTTGTTACGGAAGTGTTTGACAAAATTGTCGACTGACTCTCCGTCTTTTTGCTTCTCATCTAAAAGGGTTCTGATTGACACTTCGGTGTCATCATCGAAGAAATTCCTGAGGAACAAACTTTCCATGTCATCTCAGCAATTGATGCTCCCTGGCTTAAGACGTCGATACCAATCGAAGGCGGGCCCACGAAGGGTGCCAACGAATGACCAGACCATTAAAGCCTCGTTTCCAGAGATCATGCCCAAATGAGACTTGAAATAAATCAAGTGCTGAGTAGGCAAGCTTTTCCCGTCAAACGGTGTGAAGTTAATCAGATTGAATTTTGCCGGGTACGGTATTGAATCCCATTCTCTTGGATAGGGACATGGAATACCCGTCTTCTTTACTTCTTGAGCCGTCATTAAAGCGTTGACTTTGTTTTCAAGCTCTTTCATTTTCCCGTCATCATCTATGTCTTCATTTGAAGGACGTTGAAGAGAATGAGTTAGACCACCCCCTGTAAGAGGTGCCATTGAACCACCCCCAATATCGTTATTGGGAGGATGCATTAAACCACCCCCAGCATTATTGCTATTGAGAGGTGTATCAGCCATAATAACTTCATCCACTTCTGGATCACTGTTATCTACAATATTCTGAGTGTGGCGGCTAGATTCAGCTCGCTGACTGGACTCAGGAGGTTGAGGCCGTTGAGCTAGCAATTCTCTCATTAGTTGGATAGCCAACTCCATCTCTGTCTTCATCTCAGCTCTAATTTCTTCACGTTGTTTGGCTAGAGCTTCTTGAAGTATTTGAGCGAACTGATCAGAGGTGATTGTGAGTACTTCTCTGGTTTGCCCTGTGCTAGATACTGTATCATCTGAAGCGATCGCAGAACAGGTGTCCGAGAGCTCGTCCTCTGATGACTTTCCTTCATGCATTCTCTTGTAGTCCCTATGTGTGATGGCTCTTAACTGGAGTCGGGACATCCGTTGGGCAATTCTTGAATTGACTTTTCCTCTCGGGGAAAAGTCGGGATTTGATTCACTTGAATGCCGCTTAGATTTTCCTTTATCAGCCACGTTGATGGTGACTTCAGGGAATTCGTCATCTTGGACAGCTGATCTTCTCTTGCGGAAATATCTCGGCTTAGGCTTCGACATTTCGGTGAAAAAACTGTGGAATACCGAGACTCTTCGTGTGATGGCTTCTCATTTTGCGTAGTTATATTCCGACAATGCTGCTTAAATGAGTCGCGCACAGGAACAATGAGAGTTTATTTCTCGAATAATTCTCTTTCGAAATTTATTCAAACCCACAGCTTGATAGTACGATTCATCGGTATGATTGCCGGAAAATCCTATCGTCTGTTGTATGACTTCCCAGGCATAACGATGTCTTTTGGCGAACACGTCTTCTTCTGGGGGTGTAAAACCTTGTTGGCATTCTCAGGACAAATTATTGTTGCCTTTGAGCGATCCAAGGTTATTTTAGGAGTCACACGTTTAGAACCACCCCCTTGCGGGTGCGGAGTCTTAACGGGCTCCGAATGCTGATTTTGCATAACTCCAGACTTTGGAATCCAAACTTTGCAGAGTTTTGGTGGTTCTTTGGCCACCAATTTCTTGTTTCTTTCTCGTCTTTGTTGTAAGAGAGAACGGGCATGAGCAGCATTTGCACGACGCTTTTGTATACGTTCTTTGAGGGTCGAGCGAGCCCTTTTAACAAAAGTCCATTCACCCGTCGTTAGTTTAGCAGAGATATGAGTGATTGGTTGTTGAGACGACTGAACCACTCGATGCCTCCTCGGCTCTAGGTCCGCGTGATAACGAACCCCGTCGGTTTGTTCCAAGGCCTTAGCTATTTGGCGAGCGCGGCGCTGACGTTGTCTCTGACGAGCCCTCTTCGTCAGTGCCGGTGGGCTTTGATTCGATGACTCTTTAACTAGATAAGAGTCATCATGAGCAGAGATGTTGCGAGTAGAATTTGTAGTGTTCGACGGAGTCGAAAACTTGAAAACCTTCTTAGAAGATGGAATCTTCCTGCATTTGTGAGGCGAGGAAGACTTTGAGGATGAGGATGACAGATATTCCTCAAACTTTGCTTGGTCGAATTCATATTCAACCATGGACTCACCCAGTATCTTGATCGGTTGCGACACGACGGTCTCGGCAGCTAGACCGTTGGCTCCCATTGTGGTCGCCAGTTTGTTTTCGTCAAAAGTTGGTTTTGTCATGGAATTCATCATATCCTCAGTCGATTACAACAAATTCGAAAGAAATAGTCTTTTTATAAGACTTCTTTTACACAACAAAATGAAAATTACAACTCTTGAGAAAATAACACAAAAATCGTCTATCGATTCTTGTTTTGTGGGACTTTGCCTGTGCCGGGAGTGCTTTGACTCGTGGACCGCCAAATCACAGATCGTGAAGGGAGCTTAGTGATTCTTCCTTCGTTTATCGAAGTGAGAATTTGAAACGAAGATCTTATCAAAGTAAGATAGTCGTTCTTCTTAAGATCAAGTCAAGGCTCGAATCTCAAGGAATCACACCAATAACTCAAGTCTGCTCTCTCTCTCTCTGCTCTGGATTGCTCTCTCAAGTGCTCGATCCTTGTCAGAAGTGATCCTAGGGGGGTATTTATAGCTTCTGGGGTACATAACTGAAAAAACATAACAAAACGAAGAAGTTAGCTGGCGAGACAGTGTTTACTGTCAGGGCCGAGACAGTGTTTGTTGTCTCGGCCTGCGAGACAGTAAATACTGTCTCGGAAAAGGCAACTGCTCGGAAGTTTTTGCTGTAACTGCCTTCCCACGTTTCAAACTCCGTTATTTTGGCAGTTATTCACGTGATTTTCGCCCAAGATGTTTTCCACGTTCCTTGGCAGTTAATGGACACGTGGGTGGAAGTTATTTAACCACTTTCAATCATAGATGTTTTCCACGTTCCTTGGCAGTTAATGGACACGTGGGTGGAAGTTATTTAACCACTTTCAATCATAGTAAACACTGTCTCGCTGCGAGACAGTAAACACTGTCTCGCTGGCGAGACAGTTCATATCTGTCTTGATTTTTGTTCTAAGACAGTATGGGGTCATTTCTGTGATTTTTGGGTGATCTTCTCTATGTTTGGATATCTATTAGCATTTTTTGACGCCTACAGCCCTTAGTTTGGACTTGGCTCACAAAAAGTGTTTCTTAAATGTTTATCAAATGGGGAGGAAAAACAAATGAAAGAAATAAAAAAGGAAAAAGGAGTTTCCACGGGCCCATTCGGGGGCAAAATTGTAATCCTAGGTGGCTACCCTCGATTTTAGCCTCTCCTCCTTTATAACCGGCCCTGCAATCGGGACTCAACTCCTCTCTTCCCGCCAAATACACTTCTAATTTCCAAAAAAAGAAAAAAGAAAAAAAAGGGGGAAAAAACTCTCATCTTCTCTCTCGTCTCAATTCCCCACTCTCTCATACTCATCTTTCTCCCTGTTCGTCGGCGATCTTATCGATTTCGCGTATTCATAGACGAATCCGTTCGTTTTCGATCTCAATTCTGTCTAAATTTCAAATCAGGGCATCAATTCTGTCTAAATTTCAAATTAGGGCATCAATTGATTGTTATTGTTGGATTGGGGATATAGACAAATTAGGGCAGAATTAGGGCATCAATCGATTGTTACTGTTGGATTGAGGGATAAAGAAATGAAGAGCAGTAGCACGATAGGGAAGAAGAAGGAGGCACCAAAGGTGATCCATGAAGGATGGATGGTTCGTTATGGAAGAAGAAAGATTGGGAGGTCCTTCTTCCATATGCGGTACTTCGTCCTCGAATTGACGCTTCTTGCTTATTACAAGAAGAAACCTAAGGATAATATGGTAAAAGGCCCCTCCTTTCTTCGATTTTCTTGCTTATATGCAAATTAACCCCAAAAACTAGATATTTGCTCTAGCTGAAAATTTCCCCTTTCAACCGTCCAAAAACTAGCGACACTGGGGAGGTAAATTAGCAAATATCTATAAAAGCCCAAAAAAATTGTTATTGAGAATTTGGTTTTGATGGGTTGTTCAAAATCCCACATTTTGGGGAAGGCCTTAAGCTTGGATGCAAGATGGAATTTTGGTTTTGATTAATTTTGCTTGTCTATGATTTGTAGGTGCCGCTCAGGACTCTTCAAATAGATGGAAGTTGCAGGGTGGAAGATAGAGGACTCAAACCACATCAAGGGCATGTATGCTGCTTATCATTTTCTTTTCTCATTCGGTTTATGTTCGTCTAGCTTTGTTTTCTTATATTTTTGTAAATTTTTTGAGGAGAAAGGTAGATAATTAACCCTACTAGTGAATCTCCTACTGCATCGGAAATTGTATCCTTTAGCTTCTTTTTCACTGTGCTTCAACTATACGACCAAGCATTGACATTTAGTTATATACATATATTTGACGACTAATGGATGCATTGGATTTCAGTTTATTTTATTTTACACTTTGGTGTTTAGTCATCATCACCATCATCATCGTCCTGTACAATGAAGTGTGGGGGCAACATTGCTTCAATGAAGCTGTTCGTGTGGATTTATATATGCATATTGAATAAGTAAATCATTCACGGACCAATGATAAAGATTACATATTATCACCTTTCTTTTACTTGTTAAGTCTATTCACATAACAAAGCTGGTCTATCTTTTAAATCCTGTTCACACCCAATAGTCCATTATTAAGGTTTTAGTTTTGTTATGAACACATAAAAAGTCAACATCGCATATCACCTATTACAAGCAGCAGCATAAGATTCAATTTCAAAATCTGAATCATGATCTGATAGAATATTCAAGTCAGTTGGGTAGGTGTGACTGCCTGATGCAGTATGATGATTCACTCTAGAGTGAGTATGATGCCCCCAACTATGGGAGTGAATGAGGAGGCACCAAATAAGCAAGCAACATAATCAATGTGATTTGCTACAGGATTGGGGTGCAGAGTTGATACCCAAGATTGGTGATGAGAATTTCTGTATTCCACTTTATAAAATTGGTGGAACATTTTTTTGTTTTCTATTATGTGGTGGAACATAAATTGAATCAAGCGAGGGGAAAACTTTGCATTGATAGCAAGAACACTGCAA